ATGGTGACTTTACCACCAAATCAGCATGGCAACTAGTCCGTTCGATTCACCATCCTCAGGACTCATATCGACTGCTGTGGAGCTCTATCTTGCCTACCACTATTTCATTCTTCTGCTGGAGACTGTGGCAGGATCTCGTTCCAGTAGATGTTGTTATTCAGAGGAGAATTGGATGTCAGTTGGCTTCTCGTTGTCAGTGTTGTTCCGAAATTGAGACCATCAATCATATTTTCACGAGCAGCAGCATCTCCGACCAGGTATGGCAGTACTTTGGAGACATCTTTCAGATACCTATGACTTCAGGGGAGGGGGTCAGACAGAGGTTCCAGAGATGGCGGTATTCTGGACAGCACGTTTACCGTCGACACATTCGTATTATCATTCCTCTACTGATATTTTGGTTTCTATGGACTGAGAGGAATGATGCGAAGCATAGAGGTATTCGTATGGTGGCCAGACGTATTATTTGGAGGGTCTACCGCATGATCTCCTTTCTTCATATGGGAGGACTATTCCGAGTTGAGCATTGGCGAGGAGATGTAACATTTGCGCCCTTCTTTGGCATTTCTTTGACCCGTCCTCTCCCATCACCACCTATTATGGTTGTTTGGCGCACTCCACCAGTTGGATCCTACAAGATCAACACTGATGGATGCGTCAAAGATGGATTTGCAAGTGGTGGAGGCATCATTAGGGACCACGCAGGATACTGTATCAGGGCATTCTCAGCATCGTATGGCCCATGTTTCATTTTGGAGGCTGAACTCAGAGCCATACTAGATGGGCTTCTATTGGCCAGAGGACTTGGGATTTTAGCTATCTGGCTCGAGGCAGATTCAACATTGGCTATTCACTGCATTACCAAAGGTGGAGGACCATGGTCGATTCAGGGTATTCTTAGACAGATCAGAGACCTCATCTACTTCGATAGGGACACTTTTCACATATCTACAGAGAAGGCAACCAGGTTGCTGATTCTCTTGCTACAGAAGGCTGGAATCTCGGCGCTATCTAGAGTATGAACCACTAGAACTACCTCGACATATTAGGGCGATAGTGCGGATCGACAGACATGGATTGCCCAGTTTTAGAGGTTCGTAATTTAGGCTATTCTTTATTGTATATGGAAGTAGTACTTCCTCATTTATTGCTTTCATTTATTATATTCATTTGTTGCATCACTGCTCTTTGGAGGTCAGGTTCATGCCCCCCTCCTTTCGTGTATTCTTGATTTTTATGAAATAAATATGGTTGGGGAACCCTTAACCCCCATCGACCTTCCTTGGTGGACCCTAAAAAGTCACTAAGGATGTGTGGATGTCTTTACCAAAAAAAAAAACCCTAAACCCTAAACCCCTAACCCTAAAACCCCTAACCCTAAACCCTAAAACCCTAAACAAAAAAAAACCCTAAACCCTAACCCCTAAAACCCTAAACCCTAACCCCTAAACCCCTAAACCCTGTACTGGGATATGGTTTCTCCGTTTTATGGTTCTATTCATGGAAAGCTTTTGTACTAAAGGCATTTATATCCTATCTGTGGATTAGAATTATTGTTGTTCTGGGTGCTATCGGATTTGTTGTAGGATTTATTCGACATGTTTACCTGACATGCCTTCGAGATGAAAACTGAATGTATATTCTCAGAAAGTATTATGGCAACAATCGTTCTCTTTTGTCCTGTAGAATTCCATTTAATCTGGATGATATTTGACCAAAAAAAAACCCTAAACCCTAAACCCTAAACCTTTCAGAGGCTCGTAATTTAGACTTTTCTTTATTGTATAGGGAAGTAGTACTTCCTCATTTATTGCTTTCATTTATTATATTCATTTGTTGCATCACTGCTTTTTGGAGGTCAGGTTCATGCCCCCCTCCTTCCATGTATTCTTGATTTTTATGAAATAAATATGGTTGGGGAACCCTTAACCCCCATCGACCTTCCTTGGTGGACCCTAAAAAGTCACTAAGGATGTGTGGATGTCTTTACCAAAAAAAAAAAAAAAAAAAAAAACCCTAAACCCTAAACCCTAACCCCTAAAACCCTAAACCCTAACCCCTAAACCCTAAACCCTAACCCCTAAACCCTAAACCCCTAAACCCTGTACTGGGATATGGTTTCTCCATTTTATGGTTCTATTCATGGAAAGCTTTTGTACTAAAGGCATTTATATCCTATCTGTGGATTAGAATTATTGTTGTTCTGGGTGCTATCGGATTTGTTGTAGGATTTATTCGACATGTTTACCTGACATGCCTTCGAGATGAAAACTGAATGTATATTCTCAGAAAGTATTATGGCAACAATCGTTCTCTTTTGTCCTGCAGAATTCCATTCAATCTGGATGATATTTGACCAAAAAAAACCCTAAACCCTAAACCCTAAACCCCAAACCCCAAAACCCTAACCCCAAAACCCTAAAACCCCAAACCCTAAACCCAAATCCCAAACCCCAAACCCCAAATCCAAAACCCTAAACCCTAAAACCCTAAACCCTTTCTCGATTCCTCCCAATCCGTACACTATATTGCTACACACGCCAGACTTTCACATTTCCCATGAGATGGAGATCCTTCAACAAAACAATCAGCTCAATACGACGTTGGACGCTACCGCAATTGCACCAAACGTGAACGGCCTGCAGGTTGAGAAATTGCAAATTTCGACTGGTGCAGACCTGGTCTCTAGAAACACGCCTCACCGCATCGATCAGCATGAAATTCCAATCAAGACTGGTAAAAATCATAATTTTCTACCATCGGTTGATTTTGGCCGGAAAACTGAGCCGCGTTCCGGTGACCCTCCGATAACTGTTGTCCAGAATATTCTTCCAGTTAATCTAAATCCATCTTTGTCATCGGTTTTCCACATAAGGCCTAGACAGTGCTCAATCTGGGACGAAAGACCCATGCTACTGCAGTTTCTGGCCGTCCAAGGCTATCTCAAGCTGAGCGGAGTTCACGAAAGTCGTTTACATCGGTTATAAAGGGTATAGATGACTCTTCACTGCTATGTTTGCTACCAAAGAACCCTTTATACATATGGATGAGCTGGCAGTGGTTTTGACTGAGTCCGAGGAGGCTACACTTGCTGATCCTTACAAGTGTACACTTGTGGGAAAATTTCCACATCGCAAGCCAACCATGAAGAAGGTACGTGAGATGTTTTCTAAGTTTGGGTTCCATGGTTGTTTCGAGGTGGGTTTGATTGACACAACACACATTCTTATACACCTTACACATGAGGAGGGTTGCAGCAGACTTTTTCTTAAACCTTCATGGTACATTGATGGGTGTCCAATGAGAGTCCTTAAGTGGTCATGTGACTTTACACCTGAGCAGGAGACTTCAATAGTTCCCGTATAGGTCATTCTCTCTACTTTCAGTACATTTACATGCGAATGGGTTCCTTTTCGTCTTACCTAGGACAATAGGAATGCCCTTGAGAATTGATGAGGCCACCACCGACTTGAGACGACCTAGTGACACAAGGGTGTACATTAAGGTGAATTTGGGGCATAAGTTGCCCGACAGGGTTCTGGCAGACAGTTGTTTATGAGAAGCGATCGATTTTTTGCTTCTCTTGTAAACACTTGGGCCATTCATATGATCAATGTATTTCGGGTACACCTCCTCCTCCTCCGATAGTTGTTGTGCCTCCCACTATTCAATCTCCTATTACTAAGACTGACAAGGGTAAAGGCAAGCTGACTTTTGTGGAACCAATGAAGCAGTGGGTTCCAGTTTCAGTAGTGCCTTCTGTGCTTCCTACTGCTACTACCGCAATTGTGACAGAGTCAGAATCTACATCGACAGTTCCTACTTCTATCCCTATCACAGTTGATCCAGAGGTACCTCTATTTATTCATTCAGTTGCTGAGCCTACTCCGAATGCTCCTATCGAGGTGCCCATTTCTCCTATTATTACTTCCATAGCTCCTATGCCCACTGCTACTACTGAGGCACCCCCTGACCCGACACAGATCAATTCTCCACCACTGAAGACACGTACGGATGGTTCTCAGTCAGCATAGGAATTAGGCACAGGGACAGTTCCTCATACCACTCTTGCACAGGGATTGTTGGCTGAGATCAGCTCAGAGCAACACGGTGTCAAGCGTATGTTGATTGATCACTTTAAAAAGGACCATGGATTGAAAGTTGGATCTACCATGAGATTTGCCATTGAGGACTTGGTTTTCAAACTCTTTGGTAAGGGACCTTCATTAAGTAAGACTCCTACATACATACCTTTACCTAGTCCTTCTATCATAGCTCCTACATAAAATAAGGTGACAGAACACATACAGAGAGACATGGATGGCATGGGCCTTGAAGACTACATGCAAAATGCAAAGGACGACGTACCTACAATCAGCGACTCATTCTCCCGTGCTACAGATGTTGCAGAACATAGCACCATAAGATCAGACGTACCTACAACTCGCACCATGAGATCAGATGCACCTGCTTTTCGCCCGACCTTCAGTGCACCATCTCCCGGACAACAGTTTTCACCTAGACAGGCCCCTTCACGTAGGCAAGAACCCTCTCCAACTAGTGAGCCAAACTACGCAGACTACTATGACCCAGAAATATTTCAAACTAGACGCATGACCCGATCGATGTCATTGTACTATCACCCAAAGATTTATCCTCGGGAATACCCTTGAGTATTATTCACTAGTTTTTTACTCATATTTCGTTTAATGTCATTTGCACTTAATTTGAGACATTTGTAATTTTTTCACCTACTGGAGGTCAGGTCTATGTCTCCCTCCTTTATGTGTATTCTCATTTCTTATATTACAAAATAAGCCACACTAGTGGTATTTAAAAAAATATATACCCTAAACCCTAAACTATTCTCTCCTTTGCACTTTCTCTTTCTAGCCCAAAACGCTCTCCCTTCTCTCTAAAATGGGAGACAAATCACAAATTTTCAAGAATCTCAATTCACCACCCAATATACCACCTATACCCGGTGTATTTCAACCCCAAACAACCCAAAATCATCCAGCACTTCAAGCCACAATGGTTTTGGAAGCAATACAATTAGATTCATATGAAAATGCTGATGGCACAAATCTCAATGTTGCCAAAACTCCACCCTACGTATCGAATCAGGGTCTGGGACCATCACCAAGGATTCCAGAAGGGCCGAAAACCCTAGGGGTGGTAGAGATTTCGTCCGAAATGCTCAAAATTGACAGATCGAATCCCGAGGGTCCGAAAACTGATTTTTCGATTAAATCTTCCACAGAGCTCAAACAAGCACACACGCCACACCAAGAGGTTACCCATGTCAAGGCAAACCTTCTTCTGAAAAATGGCTCAAACCGAACTCCGGACGCTCCGCCACGGCCTCCAAAAATTTCGCCCAGTCTATCAAAAAATTGCAGATTTCGACCAATCCAGAACTCTTTTCAGAAAACACTTTATACCGTGATGATCAGAATGAAATTCTGCATCTACTTGTGAAAAATCAGAATTTTTTGACAACTTTTGAAAATCGCCACCCGAATCTGGTGGCTCATCGGCCAGCGCGTGAGGTACACATGTAATACATTAAGTTTTAAAAAAAATAAAAAGTTAAACAAAAAAATAAAATATAGTATATGAGGAGATGGAATTGGATTGATATCAATCCAATTCCACCAAAAACAAAGTAATAACATAAAACACAAACCACGCACCAAAACAGAAAACGGACCAGAGAAGAAAAAGAGAAAGGAAAAAGAGGGAAAAAAAAAAGAAAAAGAAGGAAAAAAAAGGGGAAAAATTCTCCAACATGTTAGAAATTAAGTGCGCTATCCTATTAGGCTTGAATTCCTCAATTTTGAAAGGTAAGGAAAAAGTTACTTATTGAAAGATTATGTTTGATTTTATAGTTGTTAGATTGTTAGATTAAATTTGATTTTATTGAAGGGGTTAAATATAATAAACTATGAAATTGAGTAAAGTGAAAGAAAAATTAATTTTAGTACTTAAAGAGACTTTAGAAATCGCCTAAACGTGAAATAATTATGTTTGAGTATCGTCTATTTAATCATTGAAATTACTTAAATTAGTTAATTGTTGATTTAAAAATTATATTATATTTCAGACGGCGATACGGATATCGGGACAGCATACCAATCGAATTGATTTTGGCATATATAATTTTGTGAATGGAAAAATATAAATATTTTTAAAATATTTATAAATTAAGTATATTGTCAAAATATGTGCAATTATATGTTCGAATTATATAGTTATTATGAAAATCTCTTTTATTATGATACATGTGGAATATCAAAGATTATTTATGGCATATTTATGACTTGCTATGTAAGACATGTGATATTGAGATTTGTTTAGTATGTGAGACGTGCAATATTGAGATCGGTCAGAAAAGTACCCATGATTATATACTTCTTCTAGTTCACAGAGGGGCATTGGCCATGTTTTATTCTACACAGAGGGTCTTGACCTGACTTTGGTCTTGATCGTGTATATATAGTTCACAGAGGGGCCTTGGCCGTGTTCTAGAATTGATTATGAGAGGTCTTGAGACCGATTTTCGTTCACGGAGGAGCCAAAGGCTCTTGGCGAAAGTTCTTAGCCCGAGGGGCAGATTATATATTTCATTCAGAGGGTACATTTTTGGTGGATTTTCAGCACGTTTGATGTGATGAGATTATAGCATAGTTATCAAGTGATGTTATATCATGATTTTAAGATGATATTTTATGACCTTATGTGAATATTTCACCTTTTGACTATAATTACATGGTGGTAGCTTGTGAATTATCAAATGATATGAATTTGATTTTCAATTAAAATGTATAAATGAAAAAGTATATTTATTTTGAACTTCTCCACTCACTGAACTATTAACTCATATATTTTTCCACGTTTTTCCTTATCAGGCAGCAATTGAGAATTTGGGCATCTTTTGGAGTTGAGCCTTGATTTTGGAGTCAGAGCCACACGACAGAGTTTGTTAGTATGACTCATTTCATAGAACATGTAGTCAGTATTTTGGGACGCATGTTCATGTCTAGATGTGATTTTGCATCACTTGTAGATAGTTATAGGGCTCACTATGTATTATGTATCCATATGTATATTTCATTGTATTTCTTAGTAAAAGTGGAGATTTTGGCTTATCTTTATTGTACTGTGCTATAGTTTGGGATTTGTGTGAAATTGATCACATGTTGGTTAGTCCTATTTACAGGGAAGATAATGCCGAAATTTTGTGAGAAAAATGATGTATAAAAAGTGATATATTGTATTTATAGTAGCCTTGATGGGGGGCCTTACTTTTAGTTGGTATCTATCATCGGTGCATGCCACGTCTGGACTAGTGGTATTACACGGGGCAGGGTGTGTCAACACGCGCCAGTTCCACCTCACCAGATTGTGGGGGATTTTGTGCCTGACTCAGTTCTATCATCGGATTTTCCACGGGAGGTCTTTACAGTAATTAATCAAGCTAGGAAGTCGTATGTGGCTGCACTTTCTAGTAAATATGTAGTCTCTTAAGCTGAGCACAGCCAATGGAAGTCTTTTGCACAGGTTTTGCAAGCCCCACCGGACTCCAATGACCACAGGTTCACCTCTAAGGAACCTTTCATGCATATGGGAGAGCCGGCAGTTGCCTTTACCGAGGAAGAAGAGGATTTTCTTTCTGAATCGTAGAAACTTACTCTTGTTGGAAAATTTTCATGTCACAAGCCCTCCATGATTAAGGTACGTGATAGCTTTCAAAAATTTGGTTTTTGAGGTGATTATATGATTGGACTTATTGATGCGACTCATATTCTAATACACTTAGCACATGAGGATGATTACTCACGCCTATTTCTTAAGCCCTCTTGGTACATCAATGGTTGTCTCATGCGCATTTTTAAGTGGACGCCCAGCTTTAATCCTAGGCATGAGACTCCTATTGTCCCTGTTTGGGTTTCATTCCCATTATTACCCATTCACTTTTGGGCAAAGAGTAGTTTGTTTGCCCTAGCTAAGGCCATTGGAATCCCACTACATATTGATGAGGCCACTTTAGATTTACGACGAAATAGTGAAGCACGGGTATGCATTGAGGTTAATTTGGAGTATAAGCTTCCAAATAGAATTTGGATTCAGCGTGAAAAGTGCGGAGGATATTGGCAAACAGTTGTGTATGAGAAGAAGCTTGATTACTATTTTCGGTGCAGACATTTTGGTCATACTGAGGAGCATTGCCCGCCCTGCACCACCACCTGCTCCAATTGTTGACCCTATTCCTAAGCCTACTATAGAGATGGCCAAGGATAAGGGTAAAGGAAAGGAGGTCGTTATTGAGCCTCCTAAGAGATGGATTCCAGTTCAGAGAGATCAGAAGAGACAACATGATGCTAGCACATCTGGAGTTCAGATTCCGCTTTCTGTGTCCACTGTCATCACATCAGCCCCATTACCTATGGAACTAGCTCACATGCTCAGACCCAATCATCTGTTCCTACAGTTGCTCCTCCCGCTGCTACAGCCTTACCAGTTATCAATGCTGCAGATCCAGCTACATCTACCACTCCTTCAGCTCTTGCTCAGGTTATCACTCCACCTATTACTCTGTTTTATGATCCTATGTTGGATGAGATCTTGAAGAGGCCACAGACACAAAATTCTCCGACGAACACAGTCAGCAGAGCTTCTTACATTCCAGGCCCGACACCGGGTTGGGCTCAGGCGCCTATTCACAATTCTCCTGCTCTCGTTTGTCATCAGAATATGGAGATATCTATTCCACCTTTGCAGTCAGCTCATTCAGATACAGAGGGCTCATCTCAGATTAAGGTTCGCCAGCAGGGACCCTTTCAAAGATCTTCTTCTGATGACTTGGTGGGTTTAGGTGAGAGGACAGAGGATGATGCATTTATCCCAGTTGTTCGGAAGAGATACCCACGGGCTACTGATACTCCACATTTGAGCAGAAGGATCACTCGGAGTCAGTGACATGATACCTCTTCACATTTCCCTTTCCTATGAATGCCATCATTTGGAATGT